TGCATACATTTTGGGCTTTTTTTTTTTTTTACACCAACAGAGTTTCCCTTATCATCCTGATGTCCCCTTAAGGGACTTTGGACTGGACCTCTCTGAGCATCAAGTGTGATTGACCCATCCTCTGCAACCTGAATGGGGAGTATGTGTGGAATATATTGCTGTCTCCACACAGTCACCATCCCCATGATCACCTGCAAAGTCACACTCTCCTACTTACCACATTTGTTTTCCTATTCACACCAATGGATCACTTAATACCACACCGTAACGGCTCTCCTGCTCTCTCCTCTTTTTTTACTTTTTGAGGATGTTCCAGAGTGTTGCACTTTTCTGCTGGGAAAGCCACTGTCACGTACCTAGCAAGAGCCTGAGATGACGAGGGTGGCCTCCCTTGCTTCTCTTCTCCAAATGCCCTTGGTAATGGTGAACAGAGGGTGTAGGGACGGAAGAGGGGCACGAGTCCCTGATGAAGTAGATACACTCGGAGCTGGAGATGCAGCTGGACCAGTCTGAAGGAAGATGATGGCAGTCACTTCCTAGGAGATGAAGTCAGCAATGGGTGAAAATGGCACTGGTGCAGAGCAGAAAGGAAGTCAGTTATAAGCTGGGTCACGATCTGGCGGGCAGCGAGGTACAGAATCGGCAGACAGAGGCAGGGTCAGGAGGAGGCTCGGTCGGTCAAGTGCAGGCAAGGCAGTGCAGAATCAGCAACCAGAATCAAGCCATGGTCCAGATCAAGCCATGGTCAGGATCAGGCAGCAATCAGCAAAGTCCAAGAACAGGCCGGGTCAATATCAGGTGCAGGAAACACAGGAAGCAGGGCACTAGCTGAAGAACTCTCAGCAAGGAAAAGGTGCAGAGCTCCTTCTTAAATAGGCCGTCTGGTGCCAATGTTCAAATGGGTGCTCGTGCACGTGGCTTAGTACGTGCGCATGCTCACGAGTACGTACAATGCTTCCACTAGAACGGCTCACATGCGTGCCCTCATGTGCGTGAAAATGTGCAGAACGAAGACGAGCAACACTTCTCTGACAGCCACTAACAGAAAAAAGATTTCTCTGATTAAACTGAAGCTAGCTATTCCAGAACACAAAATAGGATCTTCCCAGAAAGCAGAAAGTGTAGACCATTAGAACTAATGCGATGATTAACGAACAACTAACAGCAATCTTGTCGGACACTTACACCAGGTTTGAAAGGTTTTGGGGGCACTGGATCTCTTACATCTGACCACGACACTTTGACTCAACCCACTTAACGACTTGATAAACCCTGATAAGACAACAAGAGGAAAACTCACCCAATCTACATGAACCATTGTACACCCTACACTGTACCCTTTCATACCATAATCCCCCTTAGGGGGATAACCTTCCCACTCTATTACCCTGCTGTCCCCCTAATAGTTTCTGTTTCGTAAGTTTATCACCCAACATTTAATACGTGATTTTCACCAGGACCAATTTAAGGTCCTCCGCACAGACATTACGGTCTCATTCACACTGCCGAGCTGAGTGTTTCTCAGCTTTGCGTCTAATACATCTCCATTTTAACCAGCAAGAATTTCCAAAACAATCTATTTATCTCCTCAATCACTCAGGGGGGAGACAAATTAAATGTTCCTAGTGTAGTAGATTTTTTAAAACACGCTTTATTACAATAAATGAAACTACTCATAAGATTTAAAAAAAGACGATTGCATTCAATAAAATCCATCTCCGCTCAGATACTCTTTACAGCTCTTAGGACGTGATGACCTCAGCAAATACCCGCCTATCGACGCATTTCGTCATAAAAAAGTTTGTCTGGACGGCGTAGATGCTGAGATCAACAAATCTACTTTTATACCATTTTGTTATTGCAATATTCTAGTCAACCACTAGATGTCCTCAGTGCATACATTTTACTTGTTCTGGACTAAATCGAAATACATT